TTTTGAAAATCTAGCCACCTGAAATATTCCTTCAAAATGTAGCTTACATCTCAACTACTTTCAGAAAGCCTTCTCCGATCACTCGCCTACAGAATTTCCCCTTAATTTTGCATCTGGAAATGACTGAGGTCTGTATCAGAAAGATACAAACTGATTGCTTACAGGCAACACAGGCCTGCATATGTGCTTAGTTTGGTGTATACCATGTTTCTTAAAACAAAAACTGGAGACCAAAAAAATTAGGGCATTTCACACAAAAACCACAAAATTTCTGACTTGTGGGTTATATGTCATTCTCTCTCAGGAGACCCAGCTAAGAGAGGTTCCATCTCCATGCTTCCTGAATTACCAGGGCAGGCAAATCATACACTTATTCTTAAGGCTTCCATCTAACAGTGACCTGCTAATTTCTAACTAATATTCCATTCACTAGTCAAAGCAAAATCATGGTTAGGCTAACTTCAAAAATGATGGAAAAGTATAATCCTACTATGTGTCTGGAAGGTTAAAAGTCAAAAATATTTCATATAATTGATGACTCTGTCTTCAAGCTCTTCCCTTCTACCTACTCTCCAAACTACCACGAGAATTAATTTTCAAAAACACAGATTGAATTATCTCACAACTCTGCTAAAAAAATCTCCATGAAATTCCAATGCCTACAGGAAAAAACTAAAAATCACTAAGAATGGCATTCAACACCTTTCATAATCCACTCCAAACTCCTTTAGCAGCTTCTTTTCCCATTATTTCCCCTCACAATGCCTAGTCTCCAGCCTTTCTGGAGATATATTTCTTGACATATATTCCAAAATTTATCTCTAACATCATCTCCTCAATTCAGTCTCATTTTCTCTTTTTGTGGAAAAAATTAAACCCTATATCCACTACACTTACAAATCACATTATTTATAATGAGCACTAGTATTCACTCATTCCAAGTAGATAATACGTGCAGGCACTTAAAACATAATTGCTGTGCATCTACAAGAATGTAAAGTATTATCTTGGTATTCCCTATAGCATAACACCCACGACAGAAACTCAAAATATTGGCCTAAGAAATTCAAATTCAAGACGTCTTGAATTTCCTAGTCAAGAACTAGGAGAAATTCTCCTAGTCAAGAACTAGGAGAAATTAAATGTCACTGACATTTTACTTAAGTTTCATTTACTTTTAAGCTTACCTTGACCATTTCTAAAGCTAAAATAGACCCAGAGACTTAAACTGTAACTTTCAGAGACTGAAGACTTTGCTTTGGCTATGCCCATCTCTTGGGTTTTGTCTTCACTTCTTTTGGAAATAGTTTAGTTGTGAAGACCTAAATTGGTATAGTTCTAAAGACAACCAAGTAGCCAAATTATAGCGGTAAATGTTTTTAAATACATTCATCTCACACCTTTTAGTAATTTCAAGCTTGTAAGCACTTTAGCAAGGTAAATAAAATGTAATTTAAAGCTATTAGTTTACAAATTTTAATAGTTCTAATAAAACATCTGTTTGTTTCTGCTTCAAACTACTGACAAGTTATATTGTAGTAGGGGATTGTAGACAGATTTAATGACTTTAGCCTACCACTGCTCAAGTATTAACATTTAAACATATAATATTAAACAAATAATAAACTTTAAGTTTTTTTGCAGGTATAGACACCATAGTGAAGAACTAGGAGAAATTACCACGATAAAGCTAATAGAAGGGCCGGCCCCGTGGCTTAGCGGTTAAGTGCACGCGCTCTGCTGCTGGCAGCCCGGGTTCGGATCCCGGGCACGCACCGCTCCTCCAGCCATGCTGGGGCCGCGTCCCACACACAGCAACTGGAAGGATGTGCAGCTATGACATACAACTATCTACTGGGGCTTTGGGGGGAAAAAATAAATAAATAAAATCTTTAAAAAAAAAAAAAGCTAATAGAAGAGAAAGTTATAAGAAAGACATTGTGAACAGTGTGGAATACTGAGGTCTAGTTAAAAGAGAACTAAAAGTAGGCCAATAGACTTAGCGATTTGAGCAATTCCAGTACGGTAATGGAGGAAGAGGCTAGAATATAATCTCCTGGGAGTCAATGGAGGTAAGGAAGCAAAATATGTGACTATAAGCTATTATTTCAGGAATTCTAGAAATAAGTGGAAGAAAAGATTTAATCACAGGATGCAGTGAAGTTTTGCTGTTTCTTGGATACAGGAGACTTAAATATCTTTGTAGGCAGAGAAAGGGGTCAGTGGAGATGAGCAAGGTTTCAAGAGAGGATGGGATCAGAGAATAAGTGGAAGGATTAGCCATGGAAAAGAGAAAGACCACTTCTATTCAGAGAAAGCTGAAAGTCATTAGAATGCATGGAGAACCCTGTTCTGCTCCTATTCCCATATCTTAAAAGGGCCATCTGCAAACTTACCAGGAGTAAACTTCCTCTATTTATGAGGAAATTCTGTCTTTTCCATTAAATGGTAAGATAGTAACATTTCCCATTGATTTTTAGAAGAATAAAACAACTTGTGTCCTTTTCTATTTTTATTGCCCTGCTATGCATTATCTAACGGAAAGAGTAGCTATTCGATCCAAAGATCTTTGACTTATTAAAAATAAACAATACACTTCATGTTTTATACCTGTTTATTAAAAAATTATACACTTAACATTTCATGTTGCAGAAAGAACATAAGTATTTGTTTGTCAAATTAGTCTAGATCAAGAGTAAAATAAAATTTTAGGAAAAAAAATTAATCATTCAACACCTAGTATTTGATAAAGAGATATCACAGCAATAAGAACCCCACAAATTATTCTCTTGAGAGTTTGTCATCTAATTGGGAAGATGAAACACATATATGAAATGACAGATTCTCAAGCAACTTTTTTTTTTTTTTTTTTGCTGAGGAAGATTAGCCCTGAGCTAACATCTGTGCCCATCTTCCTCTATTTTGTACGCAGGATGCCACCACAGCATGGCTTAATGCATGGTATGTAGGTCCGCGTCCAGGATTCAAACCTGCGAACTCCAGGCCACCGAAGCAGAGCGCATGAACTTAACTACTATGCCACTGGGCTGGCCCCTCAAGCAACATATTTTTAAGTTCAACAAAGAATACAAACTGAGGACACAAGGGCTGATTAAATTATCAAACTATGAAGAGAGGTTATTGAACCAACGCTTAGTTTTCCACTTAATGCAAAGGTTTGCAGTGGTCACTGAGACACGATGTAGCTCAATTTGTGGTCAGTAAAACCATTATTTCATGTCCATCAATTTCCCAGCATGGATTTCCAGCATGGATATATAATTTACTGTATCTAATGTTTAAGGAAAGTTTATTGGTATTTAAATTTCATGCAACTTCCCTTAAGAATTCTACTATGGCAACATCTTTACCTATAATTTGCAAGTAAATCTGTAGTACCTATATACCACCTCAGCTCACTTCTGACATGTTCATGTGTCTTAACATTGTTATGGCTAATTTTAGAATAAGTTAAGGAAATTCTAGAAGCTATCTAGAATATTTACAAAAGTATGGAAGCAGCTTTGGAAGGGTCAAATCCAGAGAGGCTTAGGCATCTCAAGAGAATGGATTACACAGATCTTACAAAAATGAAGAATCATGAAGAAACAGGCTGACAATAAAGGAACATAAGAAATATTTAAAACTAACAAAAGTAAATGAAAATAACTTAACCCTATGCAAGAATGCAATACAGAACCACAAAATGAATTCAACTTTCTAAAAGGAAAAGGTTTATTAGCCATAAACTATGATAGACCTAATCAAAGAAATCTTGTGAAAATGCCTCCAAAACACTGAAAATTTCATGAAATCTCAAACAAAACTGTTTCTTACAAAAAATATAGACTACTTTCAATGAAAGAAGACAAAGTCATGGATAGTGATATGGAAATGAGGGAAAACCGTTATCTAAAAGAGTTCTAAAGGTGGGTTATAAAAATATTCCCAAAATTTAGTCATAAAACAATATATTACATAAAAGTCTCAAGGAACAACACACAGTCATCTCTTTTGTAATGGAGGACTGGAAAAATAATCAATGTAGAACTCAAAACAGGCAGAAATTTCTTCTTTAGCTGAAAGCAGACAGAATATCCTGAGACAGAAATCTATCTAGAGGCCATTTGCCTAACAGCACAGAACAAGATAAATGAAAATATTAAAAAAAACTGAAAATTCATTTAATTTTAATAAGAATGTAAAAGAAACCATATACACCAAATTTAAAGAAAAAAGAAAGATAATACTTAATTCATCCATGTATCATAATTACTGGAAGTAATTTATCAGTGTTAAGACTGTACATACAAATGCTCTACCAGTCAGTTTTCTGGATCTTGCCAAGAGTATGCCATGTTTACTTTTTCATGTGTTACTTTTTTTTTTTTTAAGTTTTTTTTTGTGTGTGTGTGTGTGTGAGGAAGACCAGCCCTGAGCTAACATCCGATGCCAATCCCCCTCTCTTTTTTTTTTTGCTGAGGAAGACTGGCCCTGGGCTAACATCTGTGCCCATCTTCCTCTACTTTATATGGGACGCCGCCACAGCATGGCTTAACAGGCGGCGTGTCAGTGCGCGCCCGGGATCCTAACCGGCAAACCCCGGGCCGGGCCGCCACAGCGGAGCACACGCACTTAACCGCTTGCGCTACTGGGCCGGCCCTTTCATGCATTACTTTTAACGTCTACATTGTAAATCCAGAAATAAGATATTTTGAGTCATTTTTTTATTAAAAGACAAGTTTGATAATCTTGCATAACCCAAAATTTTAAATCAAAACAAATAGAGAAAATTTATTCCTAGGAGAAAATTAAATTAATAGAAATGTTTTCCACATGTTATTTAGTGTTGCAATACAGCAACCAGGAATAAGATGAGCTTCTCACCATAAGGTTACCTGTGAGGCAATTTTCTTGGGAGTGATTTCTTTTCTCTTTGGATAAGTAGAGAAAGGCTTGTAGTTTACACACAAAGAAATACTGAGAGTCTATATACTAACCTGGCCCAGTCCAGGCATACCTCCTCCAAGTCTAAGAAGTCTGTCCATATTTCTAGAAAACAGAAACAAAGGAAAACGTTCCTAAGCACAAAAGTGTTTACTCAATTGCTATCTATATAATTCACCTTCAGTCACTCAGTATGTCAAAAATATTGGTGGTAATTACAACACAACATCAGACTTCCTGTTAATTAACACCACATATTAATTCAAGAAGCTGTCTTCCATGCTAATTAACAGACCTTATTTTACTGCTTTGGTTTTGGGTTATCCCCAGTTTTAAAGACAAGCAATCTTAGCATACTTTCAAAACTTTGCTATCATTAAGTTAATTATATTTTCTTATTGTTATCTAATAAAGTACCTGAATGAGGAAAAAGTGCCTGAAATGCTTATCATATGTATGATTGAATTTCCTTCAATTTGTCCAGAGTGTACAAATAAAAATCCTCTTTTAAATTAAATTTTAACATCCTCATTAGTAAGTTCTGTGCTAATTAACTTACAGCTTGTCAGTTATCATCAAAACTACATGTGAAAGACACTGTGAGCAGATTATGGATCTCTGAATTAGCATCAAAGGCTTTTTAAAACGAACTCATTATATTAAAAGAAATATTATAAAGTAAACATTAAATGCATTAAGATAGTGTTCTAGAACCTACACAGATATTTTGTGTTGTTTCAGACGTTATGGAGATACATAGCTTTTTCAGTAAGGAAATTCAGCTGCTGTTCTCAATTATAATTTTAGAGTTAATCAATACAAAGATTAACTTTGAAATATCAATCTGATTTGTTTTTTATGACTGTAATAACTACAGAAGACATTCTCATAAGCTTGAAAAAGAAGAAATCAAAGGAAAAAAATAGCAAGGGTACTAATACGGCCTCAAATACACAAAAATAAGTAATCAAATTATAAAAAATAATATCAGTACAACTAAATACTTTAAACATGACAATGAAGCATATTTTTCAACTTAAAAATTGTTAATGCCTTAAAATTCCTCTTCTTTCTAAGTGTATGCTTTAGAAAATGGTATTACTCCAAATTATATTCTAAATTAAATGCTAACAGATTAGTTGAGTCATTTGTCCCTATTGTTTTACTAGTTAGAACTGCTATACAAACCAAAACTCAATATTGTACTTATGATCATTACATTACTGCCTAATCATGTTTGTTGCATCTGCTAACAATTTAACCCTGCGAATATTTAACAATGTTAATATTGCAAACTTCATTCAAGTCCACATATAGAAAAGTGCACAAATGATACAGCCATGGAATCTTCACAAAGTGAACACACCCCCATAATCACCACCTAGATGAAGAAACATTATCAACACCTAAGAACACTTTCTATGCCCCCTTCCCAGTCTCTACCACCCTGCAAAGGTAGAATTCCAACTTCTAATAGCATAATTAGTTCTGTTGTTTTTGAATTTTATATACACAAAATCATATCCTCTTGGGTCTGCCTTGTTTCACTCAACAAGTGTGCGAGATTCACAACGGATAAAGGCATTTTTAAAAGATAAAAAGGCACATAAGAAAACTTGATCATTCAGACAAAATTTCCACTTTACAACCTTAACTTATCCTCCTAATAGCAACATTTACAAATAAAATATCCATCAAATTCTCATTAAAATTCCTCAACTCAAATATGGCATTCAATACATAGCACTTTTTAAAGGCCGTAGACAGAGGGGAAAAAAAAAACTTGTATATTTTAAAACATTAAACACATTTCTCTAGAAAATATTACCAAAGGAAAAAAAATTTCTTTTGGATCATTTCAAGCTTACAAACTTAAAGAACAAATGGAAAAAAAACAAACAACATACAGTATACTTTAGACATTATATATATTCCAGGCCAAGGTCGATTCCCAGCTGTGTTCAGTTTATCTATTCCCCTGTGTTGTTTCTGATGACTTTACACAGACTCCAGATGCTGTGAACATACATGAGCAATGTGGGGAGCAGAGGGAAAGAAAATCTGGCAGGTCAAATTTGTGTTTTTAACAAAATTAGATGTCTCAGCAAACAGGAAAAAATATTTAACAAACTAGAACATTTAAGATAAGATAATCAGGTTTAATAAAAATACTAACATTCGGAAAGGAAATATATTGATAAATGTTCTAAATCACACTATTTTTTTTTTAAAGTTTATAGAAAGCAAACAAGAACAAAAATGTTAGTTATCTAAATGACTTTCATGAGCCCTTAAATCTGGTTATCTATCACACATAATTTGATGTGTGTTAAAAATGACACATTTTCATAACATCTTTATATCATATCCTGAAAGAATAGGTAAAAGTAGAATACCTTCTTAATTCTCACCTGGTCAGTAACTACAACTCTCGTGGCGTTAAGCTTCAATTTGTTGAGTTTGACAAATTTCTTCTTAAGGTAAGCTCTTGCTAATACTGGCAGGTATAATTTTTCCCAAGTATTTTTTTCTCTCCTAAAAAAAAATAAATAACAAGATATAATTATTTTGAGAACTAACAAGAAAAATATGCTAAGAGCTTTTTTAAAAGAAGCAAAACTCCTAAAAGTGAAATAGAAATCACAATTGATTTTTAATCACCATTTCCAGAAAGTATGGAATGAAATACCATCCCGGGGAGGTATAGAGCATAGTGATTAACCCTGTATCCGAATTTTGTTTGTTAAGTTTCTTTTTTGAGCAGTCCTAATTATAAGTAAGGATTGACATTCATGACTTTTAGTCTTTCTAGAGAAAAGTCTTTCTTGTTTCAAAGAACAAAGAGAAAATTTACTCATATTTTTAAATAGAACAAAATTCATTCTATTGTCCATTTATCACACAGGTCCAATGCACATTACTACAAATCTATGATATATTATGGAATCTTAGTGATGTTATTTTTCCTATATCTTTAAAGTTTGTTATTTTATTATTCTAGGAATTAGTTCATCATTTCTTAATCACTTATTTCCAACTATGCCAAAAAAGAATAAAATAACAAGAAGATGGAGAATGATAAGAATAGTCCAAAACGATGCAATAGTGAAATACATTACAGCTATTGCATCATCCTTCAGTTTTTATTGTACTGCCAAAAGCATTGCTTCATCTTTCAAAATATATAAAACACTAGAGACAACATCTTCGTAGTCTTTTTTTTAGCTTTCATTGAACACAGATGAGAGTTCAGAATTTTTCACATTCCACCCAAAATGGCAAAGAGAGAACTGATAGAGAAAAAAAGTTTCACAATTACTAGACAATCACTAGGTGAATGTAAAGAAACAAGTAACAGCACTCTGGTCTCTAATGGTGACAATAAAATTGATGGTTTAAGCCAGGGTTTCTTCAGCACTATTGTTATTCAGAACCAAATAATTTTTTGTTTTAGGAGGCTGTCTTGTGCATTACAGGATGTTTAGCAGCATACCTCTACCCACTAGATGCCAGCAGCACCTACCCAGCTGTGACAATCAAACTGGACACTACCGGACACTGCCAAATGTCCCCAGGAAGGGCAAAATCATTCCCGGTTGAGAACCACTAATATAAACAAAATCTCAGACTATGCATATTCAGACAATATCCTAGATTAATTTTCTTGAACTTAAGAATCAACAAGAGCTAGAAACAATTTGGGAGCTCTTCAAAAAGTTCGACATGTAATTACTATATGACCCAGCAATTCCACTCCTAGGTATATATCCAAAAGAATTAAACACAGGTATTCAAAACAAGCATGTGTACATGCATTTTTATAGCATCACTATTCATAAAAGCCAAAAGGTAGAAAGAGCCCAAATGACCATGAAAGGATGAAAGGATAAACAAACTCTAGTACATACATACAATGGAATATATGGCATCTTATTCAGCTATAAAAAGGAAGGAAATACTGATAGATATTACAACACGGATAAACCTCAAATCATTACACTATATGAAAGAAGCCAAGCACAAAAGGTCACTTACTATATGATTCCATTTATATGAATTATCCAAAATATATAAATCAATACAGACAGAATGCAGACTGGTGATTGCCAGGGGCTGGGGAGAGGGAATATAAGGAGAAACTGCTTAATGGGCAAGAGATTTTACTCTAGAATGATGGAAATGTTTTGGAACTGGAGTGAGTTGGTAGCTGCACAACACTGAATGCACTAAATGACACTAGACTGTTCACTCTAAAATGGTCAATTTTATGTTATGTGAATTTCACCTCAATAAATTATTTTTTAAAAGGCTCAATGAGTGAACAATATATTTCTAAGACCAAAAAGAAATATGACATTCTCATCCAGTTAGGCATTCAATAAGAAGGACTTCATCACATACTATTTGACAACAAGAACCTGTTTTCCTAAAGAGATGTGTAACATATTGTTTTATCTTCTATGATGTTGATATAGTTCATATGTGGACAAATGCTGAAGTGTACACTAAGGTGAATAAAAGGAAACAGATAAAGCAGAAATGAAAAAAATCACTGAACTAACTCTAATTGGTGTTTATAAATCTAAAAATAGAAATGTTTTGTGAGCAAAGATGATAGCCATCCTCTCTTCAACAAAATTATGAGCTGCCAATGATTTCAAAAGTATTGCTATTGGGAAGATAAAAAAATTCTGGAGGCCAGTCCCGGTGGCCTAGTAGTTAAGTTCAGTGCGCTCCGCTTCGGCGGCCCAGGTCCGGTTCCTGGGCACAGAGCTACACCACTCGTCTGTCAGTGGCCATGCTGTGGTGATGGTTCATGTATAAAAAGAGGAAGATTGGCAGTGGATGTTAGCTCAGGGCAAATCTTCCTCAGCAAAAAAAAAAAGTTCTAGAGATGGATAGTGGTGATGGTTGCACAACAATGTGAATGTACTTAATACCTAATAATGTTTAAAACGGGAAATTTCAGTTTACATATATTTTAACACACATACAAAGTATTTTAAGTGTAAGAAGCAGCAGAAGAAATCATAAGCTAATCATAAGGGCCTACTAGAGACATATTTAAAATGTAAAGCTGATCTTCACAAGATGGATATATTCCAGGTTCATGCATGACGGATGATGAGCAGTTAATTACATTCAAAGGATGCTGTCCATTTCAGGTACATACACCTTCAAAACGAGGAAAATACAGAATAAAAATTTGTACTTGCTATGTTTAACCTTTATTAACATTTCTAATATAGTTGTTTTTTACTATCCCTTTATTTTCACTTCTGTAAACTATTCGTAAAATGACTTAAAGGTGTAAAAAATTTCAAAAGGTCTACTAGACCCAGACGGTAATGGTGATGACTATTTTTCTTGGTAAATGAGGGTTAAGAGCTAGACTCTACAGTCCAAGTGCCAGGATTCAAATCCTGGCTCTAATACTTATTAGCTGTGTCCTTGGGTCAGTTACCTCTCTCAGCCTCAGTTTTCTCATCTGCAAAATGGAGAAAATGATAGCACCCTCCTCACAGAGTTGTTTAGAAGATTAAAGAAGACAACAGACATAAAAAACATTTAACACAATGCTTGGCATAGAGTAAGTAAATAATGAATGCTAGCTGCTGTCATCAGCACCATCATCTTATGAGCATAGCTACAGTTCATCCGACACAGATCCTTCTTCCCACATAGTTTGCCACTTAGTGAAATTTCAAAACAGCAGGCATATTTCACAGTACTAAATGAATCACATTGGAGAGGGGGGACTTGCATTTTGCAGAATCTAGCAAAGAGGTTCACAAAATTAAAGTGTTGTTGTATAAGATAAAAGAGAATACTGCCAATTCTTAGAAATAACAGCAATCCAAAAGGTCTACGGATCTAAATTAAGTTTTTACACCTGCCAAAAAGCAGAGGATTCAAGAGCTCATTCATGATATGACTAACTTTACTTAAAAACATTATCAGATAATATGAATAAAGTGTTTAACTATGTCTTAAATGTCACACATACAGTAATGTTTAGACTCTTAATTGGTAAAAACAGTACAAAATAAGTATCAGTACTATCAAAAGGTTGATGATTTTCTACTTTTTCATCTCCCAACTAAGTTAATATCTGATTAAAACCTGACAGTTTGATCATGTTCAGGTTGGAATTAAAATAAATCAGTTCTCAAGTATTTACAGGAAATGTATGGTACTATGAATAACCCTAAAAAACAGATGCTTCAAAATTATCTTAACCTGGATTTGGAATGTGACTTTTTTTTTCCCACTTTTCAACACTTTCACGAGGGACACTGGTGTCCCAATAATTCATAAAACTCAAACAAAATCATGAAGCCCTTAGCTGTTTGAGTTTATCATTCTGTTTCTTAGTTTATTTTCATTTTTCACTCCCCAACCCATGCTGCAGTTAAATACTATTACTTCTCAGACTGATGCTAAATCCTTTTTAAACTATTCCATATTTGTGATCTCACTGTATTGTAATTCCTCTACTCTCTGATTTGTGGAAAGTAATTAGGAACTTCTTTCTCTCTTTCTTAAGGACTTTCCTCAATGGAAGAAAGATAAAGAGTCAACATTAAACTTAATTATATAAATAGGATTTTGAAAGCAAGATTTTCCCCAGTTTAGAACAGTGAGGAAGGAATTATCATAAATATCTTGAGGTGTTTCCTAATTAGTGTTCAAATAAAACATTTATTAAATACTACCTTGTGTATAAGGTGATACAGAAATAAAGCTACTAAGAAACTTAGTGGCTTGCACTAAGAGAATTTACAATCTACCTGGGGAGGTATGCTATAAACCCATGAAAAATACATACAGAGAAAGGATAGCAGTGTAGAGCCAGAAAGGCTCGAGAGCCAATCAGACCTAGATTTGAATCCTGGCTTTACAACCTACCTACTCATTACACGACCTGGAACAAGTTACCTTCTTCTAGACTCTAGACCACATCTATAAAATGGGGATAATACTTTGCAAGTTTGTTGTAAGAAGAAATACAAAGCACCTAATGCAGTGCCAGGAACTTCCATAGGTACTCAATAACTATTGTTGTTGCTGCTGCTGCTGTTGGTGTTATCTTAGAGCTGGAAGACATTACTTAATCTAATTCTTATTTTACAGTTGGGGGACACCAAATATCACAAAGCAGAATATGAATGTCAAATGAGTGCAACAAACAGGGTGTATGACAAGTTTTTGAGTAAGAAATCACATGAGTTATTCAGGTAAGGCTTTCACAGGTGGACACCGAATTATGAAATGAACATTGCCGTAAAACTGAAAACAATTAAACAGAAGCACAATTGCTTCTTGTTACTAATTTTCAAATATGGGTTTAGTATAAAAGTATGACAAGTATAAAAATACCCATGTCAGAGAGATTAAAATCCAGCTTCTCAATTAGAACAGCAATATATTATTTACCAAGCACCTCTGGGGGGAAAAATATCCCAAACTCAACAGGTGAGGCTGCACTGAAAAATCATGACTTCAAAACTTTCTTCTGTTGGCCTGATATAATTTTATTCTGGCACAAATTCAAGACAATATTCAGGCGTTTCACCAAATATCATTTCACTAAACACGTCTTAACTGTAGCTAGTTCTGAGCCACTATATATATATCTTAATCTCGTCAAATGCACAATAGCTCATACAATTTGTTTAAAACATATATAATTTAAACTTTGAAAGTTGGTAGCCTTATGTGACAAGAAGACTACCATTATGTTAAACATCTCCACTAAAAATGCATTCAGTTCTTTCTTGTTATTTCAACTTGATCAATGACTCTCTCGTTGCTTTATTCATAAAGTCAGCAGCACTAAAAACATACTTTCGTGAGCAGTGAAAAAAAATCATTTTCACCCTAAAACTATATTTCTATGCTAATTTTTAAAGCCTCTTCCCTGCCTTTCCCATGAAGTCTTTATCAACTTTCTGTTACCATTTTAATTTCAAGAATTTTTCATTCAGTCACTAGATTTACATTCAGACTCTTGCGAAAAGTTTACACTTTTCTTTTGACACAAAGTAACGTCCCCAGGAAAATTAAGTTCCAAGAAGTAACACACAGTAGCAGATTTCTTCTTTACTGAAAACAGGAAATGTAATCAACGCACCAACTACTACTCAATTAGGACAAATTAAAAGTATTAAGGTAAAAGCCACAGCAGGAATAACCACACTGTTTTGAAGATTTTCAAGGTTAAAAACCAGCGCATCTCTGGGGTTTTTGTTTGTTTGTTTAAGGCAGTTGAAAACCTAACATTAAGAGAAAAGGGGTCAAGGCCTATTGGAAGGGCAAGTGATAAAGCAAACATGCATTCAAAGGGAAAGTTCATTTTTTTCTCTCTCCCTTGTTTCCTCTGTCTGCTTTGAAGTTTTTCAACACAGGAGTAACTCGCAATAGAGCACACAGACCATAAACAAGGGTTCTCCCTCTGTAGGCAGGAGAGGTTCCCAAGGTTTGGTGAATTCAGCGGAGCAGAAACGCCTGGAGGAAGGAGACCACGTCCAGACCTAACTCTGCCAGAGCCCTGGGTAGCCGGCGAGGAGGACGAAGGAGCCTGGGCTCCTCCCTCAGGGCCCGGGCCTCCAGTGGCCTCTCGGCTGGGCAACGTGACTCAGGAGAGCACGGGGCTGGCAGCGGCCTAGCGCGGCTGCCTCCGCGGACCTCCGGGGCCTGCCTTCCCCGTCTTACCTGAAGGCGGCCGAGGACGGGAGGCCGCGGTTTGGGTCCTTGTCTTCCAACTGCGGTGACGCGGCGGCAGCGGCTCCAGCTCAGACTCGACCGGGCTCTGGCTCCGCGAACCGGCGATGAATCAGCCCGATTCCATTCAAAAGTGTCGCCCGGGCCTCCGCCGAGAAGTACTTCCGGGTTCACTGGTCTCCTTCGGCTTCCGTTCCCCCGACGGCCAATTGGAGACGACTCGGGAGTCGGGCGGCCGTCCCAGCAGGAGCGCACGGGACAGACGGCGCGGGCGGCCGCGCTTCCCCGTCTCGGCTGGGAAGGCGGGGCGGAAGTTAGCGCCGGGGCCGCTGCCGCGCCGCGGACATCCTCTCATTGGTGCCCCCACCTTTTTTTTCCCGCCTCGGAGCGCTCAGGCTGCCGCCCAGATCTGAGACGCCGGCCTACCCAGCCCGGGAGGTGACTGGCTACGAAGTGGAGCCGCAGGATTGCAGAGACCAAAACCCCTTTCGTTTTGGTGTTCACCGCGGCCCTACTCAAAAATTAGCGTGTTCACTTCAACTAAACTTAACTTGGTCAACTGAGAAGCAAAAGAGAAAAGGGAGAGGTGTAAAGAGGGGGAACCGTTCTTTTCCATAGTGCAGTCTACACACTTTCTTGTCTTTAGCGCTTTGCAAGGATTCAGATTTCAAGGAAAATCAACGTTTACCAAATGTTAAAACCACCTATTTTAAGCTCAGTTTAATTTATAGGGCTTAAGGAATCAATTACTCCCGTTTCTCCATGTAATTAGCGTCAACAACGACGTTTAACCCATTGTCTGCTCTGTGCTGGGTTTTCAGAGAGCGAAACCGCCCTAGAAATGACTCTTAAGTTTATATCACACTTAGGTACAGGCTCTGCTTAGGGCAGCATGTTTACCAAGCCCCTCTCACTTTGTCGAATATGTTCTAAATAACAAGCATCTTGAAAGCTTTCCTAAATCAAGGATGGTGATAAATCTACTGGACGGAGGGGAAGGAGGGATTACAGCATCTGAATTCGAAACTATTTGAGTGGCACAATTACACAGAATTTCTCTCAAAGATATTCCATCTCTATTTAAAAAATACATAGATTATTTTAATCATAAGTAGTAGTAATTATAAGAGGAAGATGGGCACGATGTTAGCTCAGGGCCAATCTTCCTCACCAAAAAGAGGAGGATTGGCAACAGATGTTAGCTCAGGGCTGATCTTCCTCACACAAAAAAAGTAATATTAATTATATTTGGAGCCGCGTCTTTACATTTCCCCCCAAAACCTGTTCCTCCTCTATTTACTTTTTTTGGTGAATGACCCCATCCTCCTAACTAGTTTCCCAAATCAGACCTGAGAGAAGACACTTTCCTCTTATTTCCCTGTTCCCACTGGCCTTCCAATTATTCACTCTAGAAATCATGAAGTGTGTAAAATGCAAAATAGTTTTTCCAATCCACCACTCCCCTTTCTCCATTCTCTCTACTTCAAGCTTAACTCAAGTCTCTATCATCTTTCTCTTAGAATGCTGCAATAATCTCCTTGATCTCCCTGCCTCCAGTCTGTCCTCCTTCAATCCATTTTCCACTTCATTGGCAAAGATTTTTTTCTGCCTTACAAATAGTTATGCCCCTTCTTTGCTTAAAACTTCACTAGTGGCTCCCCATAACATTCAATACAAAGGTCAAAAATCCCTCAACTGTCTTTGGAGCACCCCTGTTCCACCACACTAAAGTATTTAGCTGGGGAATGAGATGTCCATAGGGACTTTGAAAAACTCTGACATATTCCTGGGAATCTAGAAGGTAATATGCATGCTTAGGGTTGTGTGGATGCCTAGGGCTGTGTGAATGCTCAGGAAAGACTTGAACAGGCCCTAAGCTCTCACCTCTGGCTGACCTTGAAGCTCCACTCAAGTAAAAAGTGAAGACTAAGATAGAGTGGTAAACTTTTGGCTGAGTATTGAAGGCATACCTCAACACACATATTAAGCCCCTCTGCAAAGACTGGGAGACTTACTGGTTAAAGATGTTTAAGAGAATCTCTGTCCAGTCATCAGATGGCTACTAAGCTAACTGAGCAAAGACTTTGGTAGTCACACATGACACAGAAAACAGACTTTAAGGAATGAATTCAGAAAAGTCACTAAACCAACAACTACTATAACAAATGGAAAGAACAAAAACCCTGGGAGGGGGTAGAATCTGATTTTCAGAATTGCCACATTATATTATTCAAAATGTCCAGTTTTCAAATTTAAAGAAGTATGATACATGCAAAGAAACAAGAACATATGGCCCATACATAGGAGAAAAAGCAATCAATAGAACTATTCCTGAGGAAGCCCATATGTTGGACTTACTAGATAAAGACTTTTAAATAAAATATTTTAAATATGTTCACAAAGCTAAAGGAAACCACGTCTAAAGAACTAGAGGAAAGTATGAGAAGAATGTTGCACCAAATTGATAATAGCAATGAAGAGATAGAAATTATTTTTTTAAAAAACAAAAATTATGGAGTTGAAAATTATAATAACTGAAGTAAAAAATTCATGAGAGGGGCTCAACAACAGACTTGAGCAGGTAGAAGGAAGAATCAACAAATTTGAATATAGGTCAGTTGAGATTATCCAGTCTGCAGAACAAGTAGAAAAGAGGATAAAGAAACGTGAACAGAGACTTAGAGGCCTGTGTGACACAATCAAGTATACCAACATATGTACCATGGGAGTCCTAGAAGGAAAGGAGAAAGACAAGAGGGCAGAAATAATATTTAAAGAAATAATGGTCCAAAACTACCCAAATTTGATGAAAAACATTAATCTGTACATCCAAGAAGCTTAATAAACTCCAAGTGAAATAAACTCAAAGAAATCCACACCTGGACACATTATAATCAACCTGTTTAAAACTAAAAGCAAGGAGAGAAAGTGTCAAAAGAGAAGCCATTCATCACATAATCCTCAATAAGATTTACAGCCAAAGCTATGGAAGCAGAAATCAGTGGCATGTCATATTCAAAATGCTGAAAGAAAAAGACTGTCAACAAGAATTCTATATCCAGGAAAACTTTCCTTTAAAAATGAAGGAGAAATTAATACAGTCCCAAAATGTATGTATAAACAAAAATAGAGAGAATCGGTCACTAGGAAACTTGCCCTACAAGAAATACTAAAGGGAGTCCTTCAGGCTGAAATGAAAGGACACTAAATAACTCAAATCCACATGATGGAATAAAGGACACTTGTAACTACATAAGGAAATATAAAAGACAGTATAAATATGTTTTTTGCTTGCAATTCATTTTTTATCATATTTGATTTAAAAGACAACTGCATAAAGCAATAATTATAAATCTGTGTTGATGGGCATATTATGTATAAAAATATAATTTATATCACAATAACAGCACAAAGGAGGGGGGAGGGAATGAAGCTATATAGTAGCAAGTTTTTTGTATACTATTGAAATTAAGTTGGTATTAATCTGAACTATATTGTTATAACTTGATAAATGTAATCCCCAGAGCAACCACTAAGAAAATACTCAAAACATATGTAATAAAAGAAATGACAAGGGAATTAAAATGGTACACTAGAAAATATGTATTTAACACAAAAGGCAACAGTAATGGAGGAATAGAAGAACAAAAAAGGCATACGACAATTAAAAAACAAATAGCAAAGTGGCAGGTAAATACTGCCTTATCAGTAATTACATTTAATGTAAATGGACTAAGATTCCAATTAAAAGGCAGAGATTGGCAGAATGGGGGAAAAGAAAGATCTAACTATACGCAGTCCACAAGAGACACACTTTAGATTTAAAAACACAAATATGTTGGAACTAAGAGGTTGGAAAAAATATATACCATGCAAACAGTAACTAAAATGATACAACCACTTTGGAAATTGCTCTGGCATTTTAAAAATAGAGTTAAAAATACAATTACCATTTGACCTAGCAAATCTACTTTATATATTTACCAAAAACAAATAAAAACATATGTCCACACCAAGACTTGAACATGATAGTTCATAACAGTTTTATTAATAGTAGCCCCAAACTGGAAATAATCCAAGTGTTTCCCAACTGAGATAAAATGTGGTATGTCTTTACAATGCAATAATACTCAGCAATAAAAAAGAAACTACTGAATGTGCAACAACATGGATAATTTTCAAAAATATCACACTGAGGAAAAGAAGGGAGACACAAAAATGTACATACTGTATAATACCATTTTAATGAAACTCTAAACAAATGAAACGAAATATACAGTGACAAAAAGCAGGTCAGTAGTTACCTTGAGGATTTGAAGTGGAGTTAGGTGGGAAGATTGACTGCATGGACTTGTAAAAGAACTGGGTGGTTGGAAATGTTATATATCTTTATTGTGGTGGTGGTTTGTCAAAACTCATCAAATTGTGCACTTAAAATGGGTACCTTTAATTGTATACAATTTATACTACCATAAAGTTGATTTAAAAGAAGAAAAATTCCTCAAATTTGTTAGTTTATCTTTTTCCTTAGTCATACCAAAGTATTTGTAGTTAAATCATGTTGTTTTATGCCTCAGAATCTTCCAACCTATTGTTTCTCCTGTCTGAAATGTCCTTCCTCCCATCTCCTATCCCCACACTCCACCCCATCTTTTTGGAGAGCAGTCAGTTAATACCAGTCATGTATCTTACCCTACAATCTTACTCTAAATCCTTCTTTTACTTTTCTGCTTCCTATCTAAGTTTTCAGCTTTTTGAGAGCAGAGAGCATGGCCTAGCAGGTACCAAAAATTGTTGTTGAATATTGGAGTAATACTTGTCCAAGTACTTTGCTTGCTAAGAATACTCAAAAGGATCAGAAACATTTTAAATCCAGATATAGTCTCTCTAGAAATAACCAATTCTTTAAAAATAAACAAATAAGCAACCAAATTTATGCAATTTAAATGGCCACATATCTGAGTATTACATGCTAATGCTTAAAGCATTCATTGTTTGGGTTAGTCTTAATGTGGCTTTGGAGAACACTATAGTGCACAGAATTGTGAAGTGTTCAAGATGTTTCCTAAAATCATAAATTGCCAAAAGTTCACATTATTAAATATGTAATGTACATTGTGTCAGAGAGAAACTTTCCTGCCCATTTGGTATCTTCTGAACCTGACAGGTTTGTTAAATGGATGAATAACTCTGGCTAGTAGCATTAATAAATACTTGTTCAAAATGCATCAACCTTACTATA